GAAAATGCAATGTGAGCTGCTGTCAGAAGGAGCTGTCACTCCTTCTTTCCTGAATCATAAGGGACTGATTGAGCTTACGGTCCTTCTGATGTGGGAACTTGTTGGGTATGTGTCTAACATATTTTTTTCTCCTTTTAATGCAATCTTGGGCTGCAGGAGACATTGTCATCTGTCTGACAGACCTTGAGGAAGGCACTATTGCTTTCTGTCTGTAAGCATCTTTGCCCAGTTTCCCATTCTGTGAAAGGCTATGTGTAATTTACAGGTTTCCTCATAGCTCAGCAGGTTGCTGATCCCTCTTTCTTCCTGCTCCCCTTTAAGTTCCTTGTTAGCTCCAGCCTCTGCTTTTCTGCTGTGTGTTGAGAAGCCATCTAGGTGAGCTTTGGAGTCTCCTAGGCTCGGGTGAGAGCAGTTGTTCAAATAGTGCTCAAGCTCCTAAATAGCTGTAAAGTTTGTTGGGAATTTGAAGGAGAGGCATATGTTGGGATGCTTAATACTACAATTGGCTGAGCCCCACAGACTGCTTTCATGGCAAGTGTAGACATTGCCTGTGCTAGAGTTGGAGGGAAGTGTGATAAATGTGATAAATCTGCAGCCTCCATCTCTGCTGGACAATGAACAGTGGCCAGCCTGAGTAAGAATTGTTCCCTGGCCATAAACTATGACCTGAGACAAGTCAGCTGGAATGAAAAACTTTCAAATGCTGCCATTGTCTTTCAGAGAAGAGTGGACTAAGACCATTATCCTTCTATTTCTATCAGTGTCAAGTGGATGAAGCCAAAAATGCTACCTGCCTTTAAAATGTCCTGGTAATCACATACCTTGCAAGGATTTGGGTTGCCATTGAAGCTGAGCAGAGCTCTTCATATCGTGTAGACTCCAATGCCTTTCCATGCCATTACATGCAAATGAGAATTCGGCTGTGATTGCCAGGGTACTTGCTTAGCAGCACTGTGGTGTTTGCACATCTGTCAGGTTACAAGTGTTTAGAAGTATGAATGACTGTGATGTCTGTGTTGGCAGGTTGCTGAGAGGGGGGTGCAGACACATGAATTGCCTGCTTGACCTCAAGACCCTTTGACCACGGCTAAGGTTTTGTGGGCTTTTCTTCTTTCAGAAATGGCATCTCTCTAGGAACTGCTTTTGATAACATCAC